GATCCAAATAATTATTTATGTCTTAAATATTGTGCATACGCTTATGAAATAGAAGGAGATTATTTAAGTACATCAAGATTATTAAATAAATTATTAAATATCAATAAGGAGGATTCTTTGGTTTTATGTTATTGTGGAGAAATTTTATATAATATGACACAATATAGAAAAGCTATATCATACTTTACAAAAGCTTATACTATAGATCCAGAAAACATTCATAACTTGAATAGGAGAGCTATTACATACTATATTATTAAGGAATATGATAAAGTATTATCAGATCTTGATAAAATTATACAATTAGATCCATTAAATAGTTCAGCATATTATCTTAAATGTTTTACGTATTATACAAAGAATGATAATAACAATGCTAAAATATCATTTAAAAAGTATGAAGAATTATTACTGAATTCTGATAATATTTTAGCAAAGATTCAGTTATTTTATCTAGAATACTTACTAAATAAAAATAGTTCTAAAGATTTAGACGATATATTAGCAAAAATCGATAAATACTATAATATTTATGAAGATAAATTTCTACAGTTTATTAGATGCAAAATTTATATTGAATTAAAAAAGTATAGTGAAGCAAGATCACTTTTAAAACATATTGGAATAGAATTTATTGATTATTTTATGGAAGAACATCCAGATTTTTTGTCATGTAATCAAGTTTATACAGATTATGTTGAATCCGAACTTACCAGATTAGGAATTGACCATGTATTTAGTAGATATATGTATATAAGTAAGAAAATATTCAAATTATTTATTAACTTCTAGTTAAGTTAATGATAATTAATATCTTAAACTCATTAGATCATGGAGTATATTTTGTTTCAAATCTTACAAATTTGTATCCCGGACTTTATCGAATTCGAGAAGGTGATAAAAGCAGGTAAAGTCTACTCATAATAATACTTTAAGTCAAATTGTCTTGAATACAAATTAATCATAATTTTAAAATTAAAGTTTATCAGGTCCGGTATTGTCTTCTAAAGATGAAAATCTTTATTTGTTTTTGCCTATACTAAAAGTTTGTAAAAATAATCAACTCATTTGTAAAATGAATGTTAAAAAAATATTATCTAAGGATTGCTTTATAAAATTTACACCCAATGGCGTAAGTTAATGAATTAAAATCTCTATTATTTTATTTAATTTTAAATTAATATTAACTTAATCATAGGTTTTCTATCGAGACGTCCATATGTTAAGACATAAAGATGTATCAAATCTTGAGGGGTTAGGTTGGATAGAATATCGGACTTCAATACATAGCCCGTTACATTATGATGATAAACTTTCAATTGAAATTGTAACAAATTCTGTTGAAATGGTATGTTCCTTAATTACTTATTCAGATTAATTTCCTTTCAGAACAAAATATAATATTATTTTTTATTCACATAGCAAATAGAATATGTTCGATTTGGAGAATTTAATTATAATCGAGACAAAATAACTTACATTCACAACATAAGATTAATGGGTTATTTGTTACCAGATTATCGTAAATTTTTCTCAAATGTTCCAGAAACTTTCAAAGACAAGTATCTTTCAAGAAAAGAAATGGAAAATTTACTTGATTTAAAAGTTATCCTTAACAGCTTATAATTATTTACTTTTCTTAATATTACCATTTTTGTTTTATTCAATATACTTTGAAAATTTTTTAAAATTGAGCCATTTTATCTATAAAAGAAATCTTTCATTTCGGAAATTTTTTTATTGAAAAAAATTAAAATTGATACATGTTTTAAATTTACTATTTACTCCTGGGAAAATATACAAAAAAATTTGTATAAAATACTTCATAAAATGTTAGTAACCCCATTTTATAGCAAGTGAGAATATTATGTAAAACGTTTATTTAAATTTTAACTAAAATATAACAAGTTTATTAGTTAAATCTAACAGATGTTTTATTATTTACAACAAACATCACTAAAACAAAAGGTTTTGTATATTATTTTATTATATATCCTTATAGGATCACACTGTATTTTTTTTTACATTTATTGAATAGCTTTATTGATGATATATATAATAAATGAATACTGTTTAAATCATTACAAATACATAATAAAATTAGATTTTTATACAAATAGACTATAAATTAACTCGTGACTGATTTAATAGTGTGAATAGTGTGATCGTGAGAGTCTATATAATAAAACACTTATTGTATAGGCCTTTAGGCAATACTTTGCTGTTTTCAATCTCAACCATTTTGATCGGTCATATTGTACCACTTCGTGGCGGTAAATCTTACCACACCTAGTGCTTCGACCCGGATGAAAACCGTCATTCGGATTACACAAAAAAAAAATCCGGATTATATCCGGATTGACCCGGATTTTGAATCCGGATCAGATAATCTGGATAGAAACCGGAAACCGGATTGGATTTACAAATGATCGGCAATAATTCTGGCCAGAATTCATAACGCCGGCCAGAATTACAAATTGTGTAACTCTAAATTTCATGCCAGCCGATAAAAAATTTTTTGCCCGGTGGCTAAACTATTTTCTGGTGTCACGTGATGTTAATTTCGGCCAGAATTACAAATTTGGCCAAAATTATTCAAGACCACGAAATTTACATAATTCCAATTTCATTAAATACTTTTATTTAAAACAATTTCATATTATTTCAGCATTGTCTCAGAATATTGTTTAACATTTCTTTGTAAATTAACTAATTATGAAATTTTAAACAAGATATTTTTATATACAGCTAAAGATTACTATAAATAGATGTGTTGGGTTAGTAAGGCAATTTTTTAAGGATTTGTTTCTTCTTTCAAAAATTAAAGAATCATTTGAATCAAATTACATAACACT